AATTTTATGGATTATTCATATACACGATTACTTCCTTCAGATATTAATAACAGCAAACTTGATTACTCCAAACCTTAAAGTCTGAAAATTGTTATCTTTTACAGTTTTCTAGAATTTGAAATAACAATATCGGGATGTATCAATGTGGAAACGGTATAAACTACGCTTGGTTAAAGCCTTAATGTTATCAATTGTATTAGAGATCTCGAAGAAACTTTTCAAAGTGGGACATTATTCCATATTCGTAGTATTTAATTTTTTCCAGTCGCTTTTGTATACTGGCGTGTGACGATGATAAATGGAAACATAGAATTTTGTTTGCGAGCAACGCAAGTAAAATTGGGAATCAGGTTCCTGTGTGTGTGGACGATTGCGCGTATTTATAAGCAGCTTTGTGCAATTATATTGTGTCGAATTTAACCATTTTCCTTCTTTACATTTGCCAATACTGAGGATTTTATTATATATTTTAGTAAAGTCAATGTCACTTTAGTAATTTCCTTACTAGAAATTTGTGTAAACAAAAAATTATGTTTTTATAATAGATACATTTCTACGAGTTAATTCGGTCATTTTCACCATCTTCATCTAAACGCGCATGAACAAATGCTCTAGAAATCTAGATAATTCATAGATCCTATTGTACTATATTAAATTAATATACTTTCAATATACACATTCACACATAATTTACTATATACATGGTACTCGTCCGCAGTTACTATAGCGAATTTTAATAAATAGCCACATATGTCTTGTAATCTTATTTATTATAGGAAAAAAATTGGTGATTGATTAGGTACTTTTTTTTGAGCGTCTCAAATAAATTTGGAATTGTACAATGGGATTATCGATTTTTACATCCTTGCAAAGTCGGACCTGAAACTCCTCACACAGTTTAATTACTCGAAACACTTGTTTCATGTAATTTTCCTTCAATTTCTTACTAATTCGTCACAATTTAACGCTGTAATGATGTATTTAATTTACAAGATAGTTTCTTTGATTTTTATTTAAAAAAATAGTTTACATATAAAAATTAAATTTTAAGTGCTAGAGGATATTTTATTATTTCAATTTGCTTCATTGTAAAAATTTAATAAGTCAAAATGAATAGGCATAAAATAAAAAAATGACAAATGAAATTAAAAGTGATTAAAAAAAAATTGATACTTTGTTGTGTTTATTGACTCGCACACGCGATCATTATTCGATGACTAATCAGAATCTTGTGAAGTTGCAATTATTTGTCAATTTGTAATCGATCTACGTGAAGATTCGTAGTAAAGAGATTTACGAAACGTCGATTCATGAATCGCTCGTTATTTCGAGTGTGACTGGCGGATTCAATCGTTCCGCATGAAAGAGAGAGTTATCGCGATTCTATCATGGAAGGTGGAGAGAGAAAAGTCCGCGGGGACGACCGCGAAATTAACGCTTGCTCCGTCCGATGGATAGCGACACCGTCGCACGCGATGCTTCGCGTCGTGCGGCGCGGGTCGATGTTTTTAGCGACGTGCTTAGTGACGTGCGAGTGGTTCGAGTGAGAGAGGCAGAGAGGCAGCGAGCAAGCAAGGCAGTCAGTCAGCCGTCGGGATGCCGCAGAGGTTTCTGGGTATGCGGTGGGAGCCATATTTTTTCAATATCAGTTACGCGAAAAGAGCGTAGCGCACGGGGACGGGGCAGAGCATCTGGCGGGCACGGCATTCCGAACGGCGAACGGCGGTGCCGCGCGACGTTCGTGTCGGCCGGCGGTGAGTGATTGGGCGCGTTAAACGCAGGACGGCGAACGCGAATCGTAGGAGGCGCGTAGTCGTCGCCGCGTCCGCGCCGCTACCATCGCTCTCGTCACGAAAAATAACATCATAACCGCGCGATAGTGGGGAGGTGAGGTGAGGTGAGATGAGATGAGGTGAGGTGAGGTGAGGTGAGGTGAGAGGTCCCCGTCACCCGTGAGAAACGGAGTAGCGCGCAGGTGTTTGAGAGGGTTAGTTAACTTAACCCGAGTTCGTAACCGCGCTCTCTCTCTCTCTCTCTCTCTCTCTCTCTCTCTCCC